TACACCCACTCTGAAATAAAGGTCTGTAGAGATAGGTAAAACCTTTTATTAGAGCAACTGATAGAGGATGCTCTCCTCTCCCACTGCAACCCCTTCTATTTTTACACAGCTGATTAAAAAAATCAGTTCAGCTGGAAAAGACATGTTTTGGGGCCCTACTTTTCTACCTAATCCTTCTTTCCTTGGAAAAAGTGCTAGTCCCAATGACAAAAAAAGCACATCACCATCTACCTTTTCAATACCCCCAGCCAAACAAGTTTCATTTTAAAAGTGCAGTTTTATCCCTGTAACTGTATCTACATTAAGGGATTCCACTGGCAGAGCTGCACTAGGTGAGAATGAATGTGCTGATTAATGCAAGCTGTCCCAAGCGTTTGTAGCAGAAATGACCTTAGAAGCACGTCAACAGAGAGTTAAAGCCACATAATCACATTGCAAATCCATGCCCCCTACTTGATACCAGTTTAATTTTCCTGGCAGATGACCCTTAAGGGTCACAGGAGCTGTAAGTTCCCAACTTGACACTTCATTGTTATTTTTTCCATGAGAAAGTACCAAATGAAGGTACACTGTCATATACAGTGCATGCTCTTGCACAGTCAACCCACATTAAAAAAAAAAGAGAAGAGAAAAATCTGAGCTCCATGGTGGGAAGGAAAAAAGTATCTCAAGTCAAGCGCTACACGACAATGGCATGGAAAATATGGTGATAAAGTGCAACATTTCAGTTTTAAATAGGAAACAACTTTAAAAGTTTGTCATAGCAAACATTTTGGACAAAGACAGTGCACTAAAGCTAGTACTTACGTAAAATATATTACAGAGTATCTGATGGCCCTTACAGCTAAGGTAGTAGACTTAATTTGAAATTAGCTGCAACTTTGAAGAGAATTTCATACAAGGATAGTCCCACATCCATTGTGACATTAAAAAATCCAATATGGCAAAACATACATGGCACACAACACAGGGTCATGGGAGGGATTTTGATCAGGGCCTTGTTATCCTGTTACTTGTTACTCTTCTGGGGATCAGCATAATCTGCAAGATTCAATCACTCCTACTGCAAATCTTAAAACTGTTAAAACACCTCACGGCTGTTTTGTAGCTTGCAGTGTGCTCTGGAAGGCAAAGGGAAAAGAATTAACAGAGATGCCCCCCAGCCACTTGAGGGAAAATAAAAGACAATCTGCACCTGAGACTATCTTCTCAGAAGATACATGAATGGGACAGCTAGTCACAACTTCAAGCTTGGCAACAGCTTACATGTTTTGAAGGGAAAAAAAACAAAACTCGGCATTTAAAGATGTCTGCAAGATCATTTTACCTGAGCAGCAGCCAGCGCTGCCATCCTTTGGTGCCGCCTTCTAGCAAGCCACACACTTCCAAGGCATCCAATGTAACTTTGGCTTCACTAAAGGAAATATCCAAGGAGAAGGGAGCTTCTAGATGCCAAAGCAGCAGTCCATGAACACAATTCATCCTAATGTATTTCTTAAGCTCCTTCCAAGGGAAAGAGACCTTTAATACCCAAAATCTTCATTATTACTCTCCTTATATACTGACACAGGGCAGCAGACCTCTTGGAATATGCTAAAACACCAGCCAGTTCTGGTCTGAAACAAGGAACTCCTCCTTTTCAAATGAAGTAAAGAATCATACAAATGAAGCCTATATTTAACTTCCTATTCACTGCAAGAGTTGCAAACAAGTTCTTGTAAGCACTCTACAGGTCACGGATTTCCAATATCTTATCTAAATGTTAAGCTGCTGAAGTAGAGCTCAAAACCCTTTCCCAACAGACTTTCTGGAGCGCCACTTACAACCAAGGCCATTGGCTAAGTAACATAGATGTAAAGCCAAAGGAAGAAGAAAATAATTTGACAACAGATCAGGTTTAACAAATTGGCTTGCATATAATTATTAAGTGCATCACCTGCATGCGTGTGTGTATATATATATGTATATAAATTACTTTTGCTCTGTATGCTAAAAAAAGCACAGCACATTCATTTGGAAGACACAGACTATTACAGGTCTGTCTCAGGTATATAAAAGCTACCTTGACTTTTCATGCCTTAAATTCCTCTCAAGATACTGGAAGACCATGTTGGAGCTTCTACAAAACACCAATCTGCTAAATCAGATGTACTCTCACAGCCAACTGGGTTACAATACATCATGGGCCATACATAGCTAAAGAAAGCAAATTTACTCTTTAGTTTTCTTCTTCAGTTTAATACAGTGTAGTAACAAGTGCCAGAAGTGTTCCCTCTTGGATTGAAAGATAAACTAGCAAGCACTACATGTAGAAAAATAACAGTTTTCTTCAACTATAATAAGAAGATTGCACATGATAGCAAACTTGAAACAAGAAAAATATCTCTGCACCTACAAGAAGAGTCAAATTGCCAAACTCATCATCACACAACTGACCCTATCAGAATTTTAAAAGGGTTTTGAATTTTCTTTGGGTTGTCACGTCACAAGAGGATGAAGTATAAAAAAAGCCCCCCAAAGTCTGGAAAAGCTTCACCTGTAACTTTTACTTGCCAGGTTTAAGGAAGGTACTTTAACTGCAGGGAATAAAGAGCTTGGTTTACTTTTGGCTGGCAAGCGATACAATGACTATTTTTACTATGAATATTTGAGTCAAGATACATTTACAAATGCAAATTATTTTAAGACAACTGGATTTTTGGTTTTTAAGTTGTTAATAGGTTCACTGTATTCTCAACTGCTGAAATATGTGTAAAAGCGTTAGTCCTAAGGATGCTACATGTGTAGTGAACAGACCAAGCAAAGAGAAATACCTGTGATCTTAACTAAAGCAGAGTAATTAAGGGGAAAAACAGGAACCCTGAGCGCTGCTATTACAGGAAGGAAAATTAAATACAAAAAAAATAACCACAACAACATGTATAGCACCTGAAGAAGAGTGAAAACTATTCAGATTACACATGGTACACAACAGTGGCACTTACTCGGTCTGACTAACAGAATCAGAGGTTTTTTCTCAGCTCTGTAAAAGCGAAAGATGCATAAAGCATGCTTGGTAACACTTCTGGTTCAGATTTAGCTTACCTTCAAATGTTAATAGTGTATTCAGGTCAACACTTGTGATAATATGAAATATTAAGAACTCAATTACATAAAAGATTTATACTCAAGGAAAATACCACTTGCAGAGTACATGAAAAAACACAATATTCGGTCCAAATGGGAAGCAAATCAAACAATTCCAACATTTGTAGAAGTACAGGTATCCACAATCATTCTGTATATGGTCACACTTAATCCAAGCAGAATATGCACGTTCCAGATTAAACTGATGTAGGTTTTACTGTGGGAGGTGTGAGGGGCTTTTGTTTAATAAAACTATCTGAAAAACCCTGCACAAGTACAGTTTCAACACAAACTGAGTTTCAGACTGCTTTAACAATTCTTTTGGGTCAGACTCAAAAGGATTTAAAAAAAAAAAAAAAAAAAAATCTTCCCCCTACCCCATATCTATGGATGAGAGAGTCGACCCCTTCCTCAGATCTGTCATGTAGCTTCACACACACACACCACAGTTTAGAGAAGTGAAATATACCTTCCACTAGTCAGTAGGTGTTGTGAGGGCCTTCCAAAACTCCAGAACCCTTCCAATTTTATTTATACTCCATAACAATACTCAAAGAAAGAGCACAATACCTCATCTTCTGCAACAGCTCCAACATTTTTCACTGAAGTAACTCTTTGGTTCAATTCAGCCACTGAGTAAGACACAGGAGTACGTAGTCCCCTTAGGCTTCTCTCCCAAATCCTTCCTGCTTTAAATAACTCACTGACATCTGCATTCACTGGTGAACTGATTTTGGTGCTCAAAGCTGCTTATCATCTATAGTTAGCTGTAATGAGATGACTGCCTCCCCACACATGCTTAAGCTGCTTAGACATTACTGTCAAAGGACACAGAACAACCAACCAGCCCTACCTTCTTGTGCCTTTTTAGGATTTCTAAACTCACTTTTTCAAATGCTTGACAATAACGTGACACCAGCAATGGACAGTGCCAATCAAAACTAAAGATTACATGATATTTTGCATAAACCCACTGTGTCAGTTTAAAAAAAAAAATGGGGAAAATGAAGCTCAAAATAGAACTACATGAAGGGGTGGATGCCACAGCAGAATAACCGAGTCATACAATAGCTCACCTTTAGATCACAGTTGAATCAGCTGTGACAGAGATACAGGAGCATCCCCACAAAGAAGGCACTGCAAAGCTCCTATCCCTATCCCGGGAATGTACTTGGCACCTTTGGTCATTACCTGTTGCACTTCAAACCAACCACTAGTCACACAGGTCAAGGACCTCCTACCAGAAAAGTGAACTGTGTGACACAACCACTGTTTAAATGCAGTGTCTCAAGGAAACAAGGTTATTCAAGTCTGCTGGCGAACAAATGCTTACACCACAGGTACAAATACCTAGTCATATCTTTGCTGATAAAGAACAGGGAGAAAACGGATATGCCAGACTTTCTTCCATATTTAGAAAGCACAAAGTAACCCCTTTCAGCCTGGAAGACTGTGAAGCCAGTCTATCAACTTTCAGCAAGCTAACCTCAGAATGGAAAGGAAAAAATAAAACACAGACAATGACAGAGTTCCAAAACCACTGTAAGACAATTCAGCTGCAATTCAGCCACCTAAATGGCCAAAACTGCTAGAGCATAAAAGTTAGGTTCCAAATCTTGGTAGTTTTTATTCAAAAAACCTGACATCAGTTTGGTGAATGAACAGGACTGAGCTTTTTACTCTGTTCTAGTGGACTTACTTAAGCATTCCTGTAGCATCCTCCAAAGATAAGAGTGTATCCCCACAAACAATACATACATATACTTACTTAGAGGGTAAAATTACAAAGTGAGAGGCAAAAAGGAAGCAACTTATTTTTCTTTGCATGATATTTAAGGTAGTTGCAAACGTATTCTGGGCAAAACAGAGAAAAGTTAGAGGTGTCACCCAAGCTCTCTCTGTTGAGCAGTCACTGGAATATGGAGCCAACCTCTCACAATCAAGAGGGAGTAGGATGCCAGAAGTAAGTCAGCCTGCAAGATGTTGTATGGAAATGAGTTAGCAAGTGCTAAATCAGCTTTTATTTAAATCTTTACTTGCTCATCAGTTCAGAACTTTTGAGAGCACACATTCCCTCAAGTCTGGGACCAGAAATCACAGCAAGCTCCTTTCAGGATGCAGATACTCTCACTGATTCCTCTGGGGTCCCACATGCTCTTTATCAAAGGTAGCACTGGGGCTGAGGAAACCACTGCCCCCAGCTGCCTCCTCCATCCCTCAGCTGAAGACTACCAGCCAGCAGCTGGAGCAAAACAGGATGCATGCCTGTTCTTCACCTGGTCTGGCCCACAAGACACTGATGGGTATTAAGGAAAAAGGGCTGAAGCCTACTACCTTAATCTGTGGCATCTGAGCAGGCACTGCTGTAGGCCGTAACACAAGGGAGGTAGCATTTGGCAAAGAAACAGGACAGCTGGTGGAAAAGATAACCTTTCCAACTACAAAAGCTAAATCAGAGACAGCTTATCTGTCAGAGCTTTCAAACGTGTAGGAACATCGTACCAGCAGAGACACATAAGATCTCATGACCTTTTTCACTGCTTTTATCAGATTGGGTTGACACAGATCTTCTACTAATATAATTATGGCAGCTACGCCCATGTTATTTTTTAACAGAAACAATCACATCACTGTTGACTTCCATGGATAGCATTATATAGATGGGGAGGTACCCTATCATATCAAAACTTACTCCTTTACTACCTGAGAAGGGGATAAAATCATTTATTGTGAATTAAACTGACCCCATACTGACAGGGAGTTCTGCAAAATAAAAGAAAGCTTAAAGAAGTTTGTCTTTTATACACAGTTAATGCCATTCAAAATGCACAAAGACAAGCTTACAGAAATAAATTAAGGCAAATTACTTGCATCTTAATACTATCTGCAGAGTAGTTTGCACCTATGTGGACTACATAGGGAAGCACAGGCACCTCACATGCCCATTAAGAGAACTGCATCTATTAGAACGTACATCTACCCGAACAGCACACTGGGAAAGCCAAAAATAACAGCTGCTGCCACATCAGAACAGCACAAGTACTGCATACAGGCGATGCCTGCAAAACAGAAACTAAGCAGCCATGCATAAACACTTCCTCTTCCTCCCCCACCACCCCTACGACAGCAGCAACAAACCTGATATTAAACTCTCGCCAGCATCCTGCTCTGCATTCCTGTCACATCAGGAATAGAAAAGAGAAAGACTGCTAACTGCTCCTCCATGTATCTGAAGGGGTCCTTCAGTTTACAGGAAGCAATACAAATACTTGACATGATTCTTGCAGAGGTTTCTGTCACATTTTCTTCTTTACTTTCACTCCTTTTTTCTAGCTCACCCATTTCAGAGCTCACTAGGGACCCCCTGGATTTACTAGGCTTGGTTTTCATACATTCTTTCTCAAAGACAGAAATCACAAATAAAAGCAGTTGCTCCTAGGCAAGTAGCATCATACGAACAAGCAAGTGCAGAGCCACAGCTCTACTGAGCTGCCACACACAAACTCCACAAGTCAAGTTCAAACCTAAATCCTGCCCAGCACCAAGACTGACAGTGTGCCACTGTCAAATGCAAGGGTAAACAAATCAGGCTGCAGTCATAGAATCATTGAATCAACCAAGTTGGAAAAGACCTTTAAGATCATCCAGTCCAAACAGTAAGTTCTGAGACTATAAATCCCAGCATCAACGTTCAACTGTGATGCACATGTCTCAACATGTTGCGAACTAATTGCCGATGGGCAGACTGAGGGAACGTGATGGCAAGCATGTAAACTGCCCATTACTTGGGCATTGCAAACAAGGCCTCCATCAGATTTTCTATGGCTTCAGCATCTGCATTTCAACCACAGATGGAAGAAATACTCCTTCTCTAGAGCACAGGCTGTGGGTATTCAACTTCAAACTGGCCATCTACATTTCTGATTCCAATGGAGATCATAAAACAGTGCCACCCCCTCCCCCAGTGTGCCAGTCAGCACCCACCAGATCCACAACCACCTTCAGAGAAATCAACTAAAACCTGATATAACGACAAGCGATAAGACCTTTTAACAAACATTTGGTGATCCACTGAACCAAAGAGACTGTGTCCTGTAAGCAGATGGTCAACAAACAGCTCCAAGCTTGTACGGGCCTCATCATCTTGCACTAGTCAAGCTGAAGGAGGTCACATTTTCAGTCTGATAATTTTATGCAAAATGAATAAGCTCTATATGCGAGGGAGGACAGAAGAGAAAAAACAAACGAGGCAGCTCAAATGGGATGGGAACAGCCTGCAACTGCATGATTAAGAAGAAATCATAGTGCTTGCTGAGACGGTTAATCAGCCGATTAAGGACACAGGTACTGCTTCAACCTGGGCATTTCTGACCTCTGAGTGCCTGCTGTTCTAACCTTGACTTCTCACTCCGTGCAACGCAATAAAGAACAGCTTGCAGGTCAGTCACTTACACAACGGGCCATGAGAAGGAATCCTAAAGCACATCTAATTTCACTTTCCAGAATATTTTTGTAAGGACGTTCCCAGTACTGTCATCTTGATGATGAAGCACACAGCGATGCTATTCACAAAAGCTACCAACTAAGTCTACACAAACAGAACTACTGCCTATAGAAATATTGCATTAAGAATGAACAGAAACCCAAGCCCACACCATTCAGTGCTTCATTAGCAAAAGCCAAACTTGGAATTCAGCTTTGGAAACTCTGAACACCAAGTTAAGCTAGGTGAAACTGACAGGAGAAAAAGCAGGACAGAGCAGAAACATAGCAAGACAGGCTGAAATGAGAACGGCAGCACACACTAAAGCGTATTACTGATTCAGAGCTTTACGATGGAGGGACATGGAGCCTGGTACTAATTTAAATTCAGAGTAGCTGAAAACTGAACAGGAGTCACTACCACCTCTCCTAATCTACGTCCTACTTGGAAACCCCAGGGAAGGCTGGTTTCAGGCCAGGTCTGCAAACCCATGAGCACATTCACCTCCAGGAACTGCCAGGCACCTTCCAGTAACCACTGGGGCATCCAGCATTACCAGAGCCCGCCTGCACCTGCTCCTCTGTAGCGGTGGCAGCACACTGGGACACAGGAAGGGCCCCCAACCCCATCAACTTCCTCACCATGTTGGCTTCATGTTAGCACCGTGGTTTGCCGAGTTCCTTCCTGTACGCAGCTTCTGTGGAAGGGAAGGACACAAAGGGAGGGGACGCTAGAGCTGCCTGCCAGGCAAGGCCAAGGCAGGGGCAGAGCAGCCCTGCCCACGGGGCTGTCCTTGCTAAGCCCAGCTCCTAGAACTCTCCCCACGCGGGGGTCGAGCCTCCTGCCCCAGCTGTACTACATAAGAGACTTGCACACCCGAGTGTCCCCCCGCACACATCACAAACACGAAGACCGCGCCTAGATCCCCGCTCCCATGGGCCCGTTCCTGGCTCGCCCCCCGGCACAGCCCTCGGTCCCTCCACCTCACCCCGATCATTCACAGGGCAGCGCCTGTGCCCCCCTCTCCCCGCAGGGCCAAGCCGGACTCCCCCTGCCTCAATGAGACCGCACCGGGCCCTCCCGTCTCCCCTCAAGGGGCCGCGCCCGGCTTTCCCCTCACGGCAATGCGCCAGGTTCTCGCTCCCTCCCCGCGCGGCTGCATGCCCAGCTCAGTCCTCTGCCGCCCGCCCTTCAGCCTGCCCCACGCCACCACCCGCCGTGGCTCACCGGGCCGGCTCTGCCTGCCCAGCCCGGGGCTGGCGACACCGAGCCCACAACACCGCCGCCGCCGCCCGCTCCCCACCGTTCGAATCAACAACAAGATGGCGGCGCCCGAGGAGGCGGGGCCCCGGCGCTGGCCGTCATAGCAACCGCCCCGCCCAAAGCCGGCCCCCCGCCTCTTCAACCAATCCTGAATGGAGCCCCTCCCAAAGGGGGAGCTCCGGGCATCCTGATAGGTTGAGCTTGCCGTCATTCAAGAGCAGAGCCTCCCCGTCCCTTTCCGTGAGCGGACGGCCTCCTGATGGCCTCGCACGTTAGGCACACGTGACTTCCCCCAGGGCCCCGCCTCCCCTAGGGCTGCTCCGTCCTATTGGCTAGCCGCGGCGGGGGGGGGCGCGATCTGCCAATGGGCGCCGGCGGTCCTGCGAGGCGCGGCCTGCTAGGGGCGCGCTGCCCGGGGCGGGTCTCGGGCTATGGCCGTGCTTTCCCCCGGGCCTCGGGCAGCGCTGGGGAGCCGCTCGGTGCGGAGCGTCCTGCGGGGTTCAGCCGGACTAAACCCCGCTTCCCCCTCTGCGGCCTGTCCCAGGACAGCTCCTCCGCTGGGCTGCGCCCGGAGCTTGCTCACCGCTCCGGCACAATAAAGGGCTTAACTCCCGAACGGTCACGGTTCCTTTGGGCTCAGGATGCGGGAGCCTCGGGCAGTCTCACACGCTGACCCCTCCTCGCTATGAAGTTTCACGGCTGGCTACTGCTCCCTCTCCCTCCCTCCCGTCACCCCCTCCCCAGTTTAGTCTCTCTCCACTTTCCCGCCAGCGCTTCATTTCCCGGGAGCTGCCGCAGAGGCATCCCGCGGCGCGCTCCTTTGAAATTCAAAGAGCGGGTTTCCCACCTTCCCGCGCTGCCCGACTCCAGAGCGTTCAAAGCACGGTTCGCCGGGCCCTGCTAACTGCTTCAGCGTGTCACGCCTACCTGCCTGTGCACTAATTCACTTTTCCTCCCAGTTAAGAAAGCCAGCGGCTCCGCCTCCGACCAGCTGCTCCTGGGAGCGCTGGAACAAGGGAGAGCTTGTAGGAGATACGGGACACAGGGCAAAAGTTTCTCAAAATCAGCCGGGATTCCATTTTCTTGCCCCAGATCACGTCTCTGTGGAGGACTGCCCCAGCTGGATCACATCCAGAGCCTACAGAGGCGCTGCCGTGACCGGAGCAGACCCTGCCAAAGCCCTTGACACGTGTATCTCAGTGCAAACCCCAGCCTGAGGCCGGTGCTGCCCTAGCTGCTATCCTCGTCCTGACTGGAGACGGCAAGACAGCCGCCGGCGGAACTGCACTGCCCCAGCACTCCCGACGGCAATCACAGCAGCGAGTGCAGTCTCTACCACTGTTTATTAGGCCTGCACTGGCTCTGGGGCTGCACAGATCCACAGAGGAGGGATCCCATCCTCCTCCCAGGCCCCAAAGCCACACCAGTGCTCTGGCTGCCATGGCCCTCGGGGAACTGTGTATCACAGGGAGCCCCTCACCAAGTCAATCCTCTCAGATCCAGCGCCGTGCCCCAGTCTTGCTGTTGAAGAGATAGTCCCTGCCAGTGCCTGAGTTGGGAGGCAGCACTCAGCAGTTGCCCCATGAGTGCTGCCCACACATCACTGCTCATCCCCCAGACCCCTCTGCCCTGAGAGATGCAGCCCAAGAATGCCAGGGCCATGGGACAGGGCACTCACCAGGGTCCTGGGCACGGCCATCAAACTGCTCCTGTGGAGTAGAGATGGGAGAGAATGTTGACGGGCCCCAGGGCTCCCTCCTGCACCCCCAGAGTGGCACGTGCCCTTACCACCATGGCACACACTTACCATGCTGCTGGCATGGGAGCTGCCCGGCTCCCCCTCATCCCCCTTCTGCTCCACCACATCCCAGGGGCTGCAGAGGGTAGAGGAAGGCAAGAGCATGCTGTTGGTGATGGGCCCCTGGCCTTGACCCTGAGGGGTGCTGCTGGAAGCAGGTTGCCAGCCAGGCTTTGCACTGCCAGCTGTGCCCCATCAGCCCATCATCCACCTACCTGATGGTCCCCTTACCCAGCCCATGTGTCCCCTGGGCACTGAAGGGGACCGCGGCAGGGGCTGTGCTCCCGAAAGCACCACCACCTTCAAGTGGTGCTAAAAAGCAGCAAGCGTGTCCACCACCACATCTGCTTGTTTGCCCATGTGCTGGCATGCGGCGATCTTGTGCTCGGAGGATGCTGTGCTGGGGGAGCTGCAGCCCTGAGCCCAAGTGTTCTCTCCTGCATGGCCACTACACCTCCAGTGGCACCCAGCACTAGAGCCCCAAACTGACTAATGAACACAGACCCAGCCATGCATCATCCTGAGGTGGTTTTGCCATAGAGGAGGCTGTTATCCTCCTCCTCTCTGTGCAGGCGCCTCACGCTTGCTGGGCTGGCTCCAGTCCTCCTTGGGCTCTCCCGTCCATCTCCTGTCACTCCTCATTCATCCTCCCAGGGGTTGCAGAGTGCACACCTCTTCCCGGGAGTTTTCCATGTCAAACTGGGGCTCCCCTGGTGAGCTTCAGTGGGCCCAGCTTGGTGGTGGGACCCAGCACTGTGTCATCCCACCCTGCCCACTGCAGTTTGTGCCCCAGTCTAGCCACCACCACCATGGCTGTCCCATGGCCAAGGTGTATTCACAGCTCTCATCAGTGCTGCACCCTTGCTCTGGGCAGAGATGTCTCCCCAGCACAGCAACCCATGGACCATAGCCAAATGCAGTGCACGTTAAACACCCGCCATGTGCTGTGTCTGCTCAGCTGCCTGTGGGGACACTCTGGGAGCCTGTGCCAACATGAATGGCTGCCTCTCGCTGGTACAACTGCCCTGGCCATGCAGCACCTACCTCTTGCCCAGCAGCAGCTTGCCAGGGACTCGATTGCTGTGGGAGGAGCAGAAGGCAGCTGTGAGCCCCTGGTCTTGCTCTTTGTGCTGTGCCATGCCATACCATGGGACTGGGACTCACCTGCACAGCAGGCTCCGGGCCATGCAGCCCAGGGTAGCCAGCAGCAGGGCACCAGAGACAGTCAGAACAGCCACGAACCAGGCTGGTGGGCGCCACACTGCCTCCACCCGTGTCACAACCAGACGTTCCTTCAGCGGTGTCTGTGGATGTGGTGGGGTGAGGGGACTCACGAGGGCCAGGGTGCCTCAGGAGCCTGGGAGCACCGCCTGCATTGGGCTCTGCTCACCGTGCGCTGAGTCGTGGTGCTGGGTGGCACCGGTGTGCTCCGGGGAGTGATGTGCACCACCAGTGCCACCACAGTGCTGTGGCGGGAGGTGCCGGAGCCACCCGACACCTCCACCAGCAGCACAAAGGTGCGGGGCTCAGGTAGGTTATTGGGGAGGTACAGGACGGTGTTCCCCTCCAGCTGAAAGCGCCCATCCTCATTGCCTGGACAAGAGTGTCTGCTCAGTGCCACACTGCAGTAAGGGGCTGGGTTGTGCTGTGGCTTGGCCGCCCCTCACCTCCAGCAATGTTGTATGTCAGCGTGGTACCATCACGGCTTCCCTGGCATGCTAGGCGGGTGACAGGCTGGCGGCTACCTGACCTGGCTATGATCCACAGCTCCTGCACCTCGGGGATGCACACCGGCGCCTGGTCCAGCACAGCCTGCTGGAAGCAGGGGAGGTGGAATGGCACCACAGGGCTGGCTCCCACCACAGCTCACCAGAAGGGCTTTCACTCGCACCTGCACATGTACAGTCACGGCGCACAGGCAGCTCCGCTGCTTTGCCGGGTCCAAGTCATTGCGGGTGTCTGTCAGCCGCACCGTCAGCCGGTAGCTCTTGCGCTGTCGGGAGTCGAGGGGTCCCACCACACGGATCTCACCTGCAGGGCAGCAGGAGCTGCTGGGTGCCATGGGGTGCAGTAGGCTTTGGGGGAAGGGGACGGGTGCTCACCAGTGTGTACATCGATGGAGAACGGCTGCTCAGGACCAGGGCCCCCCTCCAGGCTGTACTCAAGGCTGTCTGGTGGGTAGTCACGGTCAGTGCCAGCGATGAGTCCCACAGCACTGCCGAAAGCTGCTGTCTCTGGCACGGTGAAGGTGGTACCATTGGGGCACACCGGTGTGAATTCATTGACAGGTGTCAAGGTCACGAGCATGGGCACACGGGCTGTGTGGCACACGGTGTCTCAGTCCCACCGGTACCACCCCACAGTCCACACTGGGCTGGGTGGGCTCTGCCCTGGGCAAGATCCTCCCTGGGCAGGCTCAGGGACATGGGAACAGTGGCATCCCCCTGGGCAGCAGGGAAGAATGCTTCCTCTGTGATCTGTGGGGTTTAGGGCCAGAAAGAAGCTCTTCCCTCCTTCCCCATGACCCTTCCATGGATACAGGCACTCACTGCTCCGTGGGGGCTGTCCTCCTGCTGTCACCACGATGGTGGCTGTGAACTGAAAGCCCACAGTGGCCACAGCCTTCGAGTCATAGTCCAGGGTGGTGCTGACCTGTCGAGCCAGGGCAAGGGGTGTCAGGCAGAGCTCAAGTGCCCTGCAAAGCTGGGGTATGCCACAAAGCTGAAGGGAGCAAGGGGGGAAATCATAGAATGATTTCTGTTGGAAAGGACCTTAAAGCTCATTCAGTTCCAACCCCCTGCCATGGGCAGGGACACCTTCTGCTAGAGCAGGTTGCTCCAAGCTCTGTCCAGCCTGGCCTTGAACACTGCCAGGGATAGGGCAGCCACAGCTTTGCTGTGAAACCAGGCCTTGGGGAGCAGGGAGCCCAGGACACCCTGGCCTGGGACCTGGTGTGACAGCACATCCTGTCAGAGGGTCCCCACTGTCCCACTGGGCTCCCCAAGTCTGGGCTTGCTCGGCACTGGGTGCTGCCCATGGCCCTGCTCACCTGCAGCTGTGGCCCCTCCATGCGGAAGTGGGATCGGGAAGCAGGGGGCCCCTCGAGGGCATAACGCAGGCACCCCTCAGCACCTTCACAGCCAGTGCACCTCAGTGTCACCAGGGTGCTGCCAGGGAGCTCTGTCTCAGGCACCTGGGACCTGCAGTGCGGCAGCCAGCAGCTCAGCTCTGGCCCCATGTTGTGGGTATGGCAGAGCATCCCCTTTGCCCACTCTCATCCCAAACCGTACACGAAGATGGCTGGGACACAGCTCAGCTCCTGCTGGTCCGTGCCCTGCACGGTAATGTTGAGTATGGTGGTAGCATGGTCATCAGGGTGCAGTGCATTGTAAGCCTGAACTAGGAGTTGTTCCTGGGCCACCTCCAGCTGGCGGGTGCTGTGGATCTTGCCTGTCACTGCGGGACAAAGCATGGCCTTGCACCAGGCATGGGGATGGGGAAAGGGTGGCCTTGGGGACTGCCACCACTCCACTCACTCTCATCGATGGTGAAGAACGTGGGTGCCGTGGGTGCAAGGATGGCATAGCGGACATTGTCACCGCTGGCACGGACCTGTGTGACCACCTCCAAGGGCCCAATGACACCTGGCACCGTCACAGCCTGCTGCGGCTCACTGGAGGCAAGGTGGGCAGCATGGCATGGCCTGATGCCACCAGCACCCACCACCTGGCCCAGCCCTACTCACAGGAAAGAGACACAAGGACGGCACGATGGCAGAACCTCCACACTCACAGCTCCACTGCAGTTGTGCCCTTTGCTGTCCATCACCTCTATCTCCAGCCTGAATGTCTGTGGGGTAGTGCCAGGGTGGCCGTGGGACAGCACCAAGTGGCACCAGGGATGGAGATTGAGACAGGGATAGGAATGGGGATAAGGACAGTAATGAGGACAGGAACAGGGACAGAAATGGGAAAAGGGGAGGGGACAGACACAAGAATGGGGGCTTGGAGTGAGAACATGGGTGGGAACAGGGATGGAGATGAGGATGAGCTGGAGACTTGAATGGGGACAGAAACAGGGAGGTGGAGGAGGACTGGGACAGGACTCAAAATGCAGAAGGGGCAAGAGCCAGAGAACAGGTTGGAGCACTCCTGGGATCAGAGGGAGACCGGAGCCCAATAGGAGGAGCAGGGTGCAGAGAGCTGAGAGCTACAGAAAGTGCCAGCTAGGGGCTAAGCCTTTGTGGGCTGGGAGGTGGCTGTGACAGCCTGGAGATGCTGGTGCCCACCTGGGTGCCCTTGCTGGGGTCAAAGCCACCGGCAGGTGCCAGCACCAGGCCCTGGTCGGTGAGCACGAGCGGTGTGTTGTGGTTTCGGAGTCTGAACTGCAAAGAGATGGGTGGTGGGAGCCCCTGTCCCCCTCCTCCATGCCTGGGGTTTCGGTATCCCCAGGGGTGCTCCCGCCTGTGGAAGGTTGTGGCCCCCAGGGCAGACCCCACTCACCGTCAGCCCGCCGAGTGGCTGTGGCATCACAGCATACAGGGGTGTCCGAGGCGCCACGTCTGCCAGCACCCGCACCACATCTCCCGCTGCAGCACAGCATGGCCGTGGAAGCACAGCACTGGCCAGCACCAGTGGCCCCCGCCACCCCGTACCCCCCGGCTCCTACCTGTGCTGGTGAATGGGGCATTACAATGCAGCACCTGCCCCCCTTTCACCCACACAAAGAGCTGCTTTTCCACCTCATCCTCACCAGGACAAGTGGCCCGCAGGGTCAGGGTGTACATGTTCATCCAGTGGGCATTGAGCTCCGCACCAGCACGCAGCGTCACCTGCTGTGGAGACACAGTGTTCAGCAGGGTGCCCAGGGGCGTCTGTCCCACTCCCTGCCCCTCAGCAGCACCTCTACCTGAAATGTGGTGTTTGCCATGGGGTCAGTGCTGCTGGTAATGAGGCTGAAGGGGTGGCTGGGCTCAGTGCCATGCAGGGTTACGTTGGGGCTGTCACTTGTGTTGCTACAGGACACGGTCACCTCAGCCACACTAGTGCCCGGCACTGCATCCTCACTCAGGGTCACCATGCAGGGCAGGTCAAGCAAGGCTGGTAGGAGACCACAGAGGCCAGCCTTACACCAACAGCTCGCCCAGCCGTGCTTAGGGAGCTCTGCACTTGCACCCAGGCACCCATGATGGCATGGGTCTCCTGGGCAGCACCCAAAGCACCCCACTCTTACCTGCTGCTCTGACGAAAGTCCCTGCAAAAAGGAGATTGTCACCCCAGCCTGCCTGGTGTGTCCCAGGGCACCCCAAAGATGCCCCAGAGGTGCATGGATATGCCCCAGTGATGTCCCCAGGATACCCCAGTAATGCCCTGGTGATGACCCAAGGAAGCCCCCACCCCACCTGAACCTGGCCACGGAGCTGCCGGCTCCTCTGCTCACCCTGGAGTTAGCCCCCATAGGGGCAACCGAGGGGAGCCTGTCTCCTATCCCTCCCCTTTTGGTCCCACACCCAGAGTTTGGCAAAGGGTGCCCCTGACGCTGTGAACCTAAAGTGCCTACCTGGGGCACAGAGGCTGAGGAGGAGGAAGGTGAGGCGTCCGTGCATGCCCATGGCTTGCTGGCTGTTTAGGACAAGCTGCAGCCCGTTGCCAGGGGTGCTGGGCACCACCCGGCCCAGCGTCACCGCGGCCACCCGCGAACAGCCCGGCCCCGGGGCAGGGACAGGGCACAGCCCCGGTGCCCAGAGCTTCCCCACTGCCTTTCGCCATCCCCGGCCGGTGCTGGGTAGGAGGGCAGCGATGCTCCGTGGGGTTTCGCTGCTGTATCGCGCTGCCTCGCCATTCAGGGCGCTCGGGACCCGAGAAAATTAGCTGGGAGGTAATTTTTGGCCGTGTTCTCCTTCATTTGCAAACCAGAGCCGCTTCTCCCGGAATTCCTATTAAGCGCTATTAGTTCCAAATTAATAGGCTCTGGCGGAGCGCGGCCCCTGCGGCCGGGGTCACCTTTCCCTCCTCCGGTACTCAAATCCATTTCGGTAGCCCGGGAGCCACGGGAGCCTCAGCCGGGCCCCTGTAACGGGGCTGCCCTCCTTCCCGCCGAGGCTCCCGGGACCCCTGGCGCTGGGGTGCTGCTCGACTGGTGCCCCCAGTCCTGCCTCGCCCGGCGGTGCCCGGGTGGTGCTGGCGCGGGGCCCCGGGGCGGCGGGGAGGGGCGGGGCCCCGGGGCGGCGGTGCCGGTGCCGGTACGGGCCGGGCTCACGTTACGGCAGCCTCATTGGCTGCGGCGGGGCGGGGCAGTACCGCCCAGGCAGCGCCGGGAGGCGGCGGGGACGGGCGCGCTCCGCTGCTGCTGCTCCTCCGCCGGCACCGGAGGGACCGGGAGCGGGACCGGGAGCGGGAGCGGGACCGGGCTGGGCCGGGCCCGGCCGGGCCGGGCATGCACAGCGCCCGCCAGGAGGCCTGCCCGGGACAGCTCGGCGCCGAGCGGGTGAGTGCTGCCGCGGGCACCGGGAGGGGACGGGGCAGCCCCGCCGGGGCATCTCCGTGATGTCAGGGTGTAGCCGGTGACATCAGTGCAGTGACATCATGGCGAGGCCCAGGCGGCGGCGCGGGGGACGGGGGTGACCGCGGGTGGCCGTGGGACGCGGTGTCCAGCCGTCAGGGTGCTAGCGGCACGGTCCCCCCTGCGCGGCCACTGCCGCCCAGCTGGGCTGCCCTGCGGGACAGGCGGTGACAGGGTGGCCCAGCCGGCTCCCCTGGGCCTGCCGCACGCCTGCCCGGCTCCCCATCGGCCGGTGCGACGGCGTCCCCGGCCAGCGCCGGGACAGGGCAGCCCGAAGAGGTGGCACGTCGCCAGTGGGGCTGGCTGGGAGGGTTCCAGTCAGCGGGGAAGGGGACAGGAACTGAGACAGGGACGGGGACAGGGACAGCCCGGCCAGCAGCTCCGTTGGTGTCGGCCAAGGGGGACGGGTTTACTGCTACCGGGGAGCGATCCCTCCTGCTTGCTCGGCTTCCCGTGGCTCCAGAGCAGAAAGGAAAGCGGACGTAACACCCTGCTTTGGGGTTCAGACAATAGGAATTCAAGAGAGAGGAGCGGCCCAGCTGCAGGAGCCAGCCGCCCCTTCCAGCGCCCGTCAGGCCATACTCCGCTCGGCCCCGGCTCTCCTGCCCCCCACGCTCTCTGCCGCTGTTGAGGGTCCCTGGCCCTGGGCGCAGGCCTGGCTGCACCCTGACGTCAGCCGGGTGTCCCCGGCTAGAGGGCACAGGGTGGGAGGGGTGGCCCTGCCAACGCGTGGGGGGAGCGCCGCACCCCAGCATCCATGGGTGCCCCGAAGCTGCAGCCTGCCCTGTGCCACAGAGCAGGGTCCTGCACATGGGGTGTCCCCGCTGCCGCCCCACCGCGGTGGGGGGGGGGGGGGTTGAGGGGCCAGCTGGGGGGCAGTGGGGCGCCCGGCTCCTACGTGCCGTGGCCCTGTGTCATTTCCCGCAGGCACGGCCGGGGCTGGGTGCCTGCTTGCTCACCTGACATGCTGCTGCACGCCGCCCGGCTCCACGCAGGAGCAGCAGGAAAGCGGGGCCCGGGGCTGCAGGCAAGCTGGAGCCTGCGTCCTGCTCCCCGCTGCGCGCCCGGCTCTGCCAGCAAAGCCCACCTGATTCGGGGCTGGGGGCACAGGGGGCACAGGATGGGGGTCATAGTGCTGGCCCGGAGGGAGTGGGGACAAACGCACTGACCTGCCCTTTTCCCACCAGGGGTGCCAGCGGGAGGCCGGGGCAGCACCACGGGCGCACATGCACAGCACACGGCCAGCACCACATCACGTCGTTGGGCCCCCCCGTGCCCCATGCCCCCCGCGCCCCGGCTCGGCGGCGGACTCAGCCTGCAGCCTGGAGGCAGGGGGTGAGGAGGAGGCGGGGGGGGGCCCGGCCACCCGCTCCCCCCCAGCCAGCGAGCGCAGCCTGGAGTTCGACTCGGGGTATTCGGAGGCGTCGGGAGGCACGTGGCGGGAGGAAGAGGCTCCGGTGCGGAGGCGGCACCCGCTGCCCTGCCAGCGCGCACACCGGCTCTCGGCTGGCCCCGCCGCCCCCCCGCCTGCCCCCGCCCGCCGCATCCGCCCCAAATCCACCTCGGACGCCTGCCTCGAGCACTGGCGGGCACTGGAGCCAACCGACACACAGGACTGGACCGTGGCGCTGCTGTCACAGAGCCGGAATCGACAGCCCTTAGTGCTGGGTGACAACTGCTTTGCTGACCTGGTAGAGAACTGGATGGACCTGCCCGAGGTGGGCACTGAACCTCGGCGCCGAGCCAGTGCTGAGCCTTCCCGCCGGCTGGCCAAGCCTCCTGCCTTCCTGCTCAGCCTCTCAGGCAATGTGCGCCGTAAGCTGGCCAACATGGCCCGGCCTCGTGGAGCCGAGGGTGCCCGGTCAGGGGGCCGTGATGCCACCAAGCGTTTCTCCTGCCCGCTGGGGCTGGGTGGGCAGCCCAAGGGTGCCTGCTTCCACCAGTCCCACAGCAACATTGCCCAGCTGGCCACGGACTTCCACCGCTTCACTGCCCTCATGAACAGCCGCAGCCGCCAGCCCATCATCTGCAACGACGTTATTGGCTACATTTAGCCCTGCCCGTGCCCTCCTCTGCTGTAAATAAACCCTGGTTTTGTACGGTATGGGCGCAGCGATGTTTATCGAGCGGGGCTGCCTGCACCCCACCTCTGGGGTATGTATGGGGTTTTGTGACAAGGGCCAATGCATCCTGAGGCTTTTATCGCATGGGGTCGGGGATGCCAGCCCTCCCTCAGGGTAGGAAGCACATGAGAGGGGGACGGGTAGCTTCAGTCTCAGCATCCTCTTCCTCGCACACATACTCCAGCTTCAGCACCCGCTGCTGTGGCTCCCCGGCATTCTCCAGGGTCGCTGATAACCTGTAGCAGGGAAAGGGGGTCTTGGGGTTCTCTTTTGCCCCCCCTAGGCTGGCTTGGTGCCCCAGGGGAGCCCTAGGACCCTCTGGGTCACCTCGCCTGGCCAGGCTGGGGGGATGTAGGGGCCGGCAGTGAGGGGCCGGGCAGGGGTCCCGCCATGGGAAGTGCTGCCGGCAGGATGTTTATCCAGCAGCTGGCTGGGAGCTGCACTGCAGCTGGAGCAGCTCAGGATGGAGGAAGATGTGTCTGGCAGCACCCACAGGGCAGGACTGAGCCTAGAGCTGTGGACCTACCTCTGTTTCTGCATCAGGGCTCGTATTCCTTCATTCTCCCCGCTGTCATAGAGTACAGTGAAACCATGCAGGAGCATGGTCACGGTCCAGCCATGTGTCCTCTGCAAGAGGTGGGTGTCAGGATCCTGCCAGGGTGATCCAGTGGGGTGCTGGGTCCCACGCAGGGCTCACCTGCATCCAGTCTAGTATGTTCTGGACTGTCATCTCCTCTCCGTCTGCACTGACTGCCTGTATCTCCAGCCGGTCCCAGCAGCTCCACTCCCGCCCACAGTACTGCAAACGGGAGTTCAGGGTAGCAGCCAGCACTGGCACCCCACATCCTGGCTCCCCAGCCCCATAAAGCAGGGACTGATGGGGCATGAGGGCTGGGGTACAGCAAGAGACCAGTCTGAGGCAGGGGGACAGGGACACATGGTAGTCCAGAGGCAATGGGGGACACAACTGTCTTCCCAGCCCTGCTGAGATCCAGGGGTATGGAGGGGCACAGTCCTCCTCCTACCATTGTTGGGCCTGGGGGGCAACAGGAGCATGGCTATCATCCCCGCTGCCCAGCACCACCAGGGTCTAGGGACCCCAACATCACTCCAAGGGCCAGGGTTGGTGTGGGGCTGTCCCTGTCCCCAACCGCGGGCCAGGAAAAATGCACAAAGGGCCATTGAAGTGTTGCCCAGCCCCACACAATCGCCTCTTCTCACGCCTTCTTCCCCCCTCCCTCCCCTGCACAGAGCCCAGCTCCTGCCCAAGGGGGTCAGCGAGGCATCAGCCCTGGGGCCAAGTGCCGGATGCAGCCCCATGTGTCTGGCACGCCTGCGCTGCCATCTGCCCTAGCTGCGGGCAGCACCAGATCCGGCCTGGCCCTGGCCACAGCCCCTCTCGAGATGGGGTGCTCACACCTGGCTGCTTCCCTCCTGCCTCCTGCTGCCTTCTCACCTTCTGCCTTCTGCTGCCTTCTCACCTTCTGCTGCCTGCACTTATCCCACCAGGGTGGAAAGGGTTTAACTCCATCCTCACCAGGACAGCGACTGCCCAGCACAGAGGAGACACCACTGTCCATCCTGGCACCCCAGAAAGTGCATCCATCTCAGGTGGGCTCCCCAGGCCGTGCAGGACCGCAGGTCATGTCACACAGGTCTAGGAGACATGTGCTCCCACCATGGCTAAGCAGCCGGACACAAACCATCCTGCCGAGGGTCACAGAGGTGCCGGGTGCTCTCCAGGTACTTGAGGGCATGGGCAGCACCAGCAGCATCCTCCACCCAGTGATGGTGCCAACGCAGGGGCATGGCAGCCACGCTGCAGCAGGCTGGGCAGCTGGTGGAGTGTGAGGGGGCTGTGGGGCAGCCTGAAGCAGTGCTAGAGCTGGCGTAAGGCAGTGGATGTGCCTCCCTCCCCCTCTTCCTGCCCCCGGCCCTGGGCCTCCCGGGCCAATCTGGTTCCAATCGGCGCTTCCTGCCATGCCGGAAGGGCTGCCTCGCACGCCATAAACCCCCAGACAAAGGGGCCTCTATTGCCCAGACGGTCCCATTCTGGCCCTGCCCCGGCCCCCACTCTCCCCCCTGGCAGAGCGGCTGCGGCCTGGCCCCCCGCCATCAGGACCCCCGGCCCCGCTCCCCCCGGACAGCCCTTCCCGGCCCGGTGCCAGCTGCGCTCTGGCTGCTGCAGCTGGTTTCCATAAGCCAGATGTGTACAGCTGCTGTGGTCCCCTGGCTGTGGGGCTCATCATGGGGCCCACTGTGGGGCAGTGGGGCTGCCTCAGTCCCATGGACACCCCAGAGTGTCCCAGTTGGGCCCAAAGCCGGGGCAAGTGGGACAGTGGCAGCCACTTGGTTCCGGGGGGCAGACACAGGCAGGAGCTGGTTCCTCACTGCCTGGCAATGCGCCCAGGCTGTTGCAGTACCTGAATCCATTTCTGGAGCCCCATGGCCAGGGCTGTCCTTCTTGCATGGCCTTGCTCCTAGGTCCCCTTGACATGGCCCCACATCAGCTGCCACTGAGAACTGGGGCACCCCAAGACCCCTGGGCGCCCCCCCCCCGACCCTGTCCTGCCCTGGGGAAGAAAGACCTACCCAGTAGACAGAAGATGGTGGGGGCTGGAAGCGGAGCAGCAGGCAGTCAGACAGGGAGAAGTTGCTGTTGCGGTAGCAACTGAGGTCCTGGCACCCCCACACCAGCTTGTAGACCTCCAGGCACGCCAGCCCAGCCACAGCCGCTGTGGTGGTGATGATGGCAGGCACGATCCGCCCTGTGATCCGCTTGCTCTGAGGACAGGAGGGGTGTTACTGGCTGCCCTGCACAGGATGGGGACCCCTGCACAGGCAGGGATCCCCATGGGTTACCCATCTTACCATCAGCCGGCTGGCGGCAGGGATGCTGTAGCTCTCTGCACGCAGGTTCGATGCTGCTGTGATAAAGTCTATGTGGATGTCATTGTCCTGTGGGGAAGAGTATGGGGAGATTAGCATCCCCTGGGGACACCAACCCCCAGGCTGAGCAGGGCTGCCTGCATAGCCCTGGGTACCTTCTCAAAGTGGATGGGCTCCATCAGGGGCACTTGCGCTTCTTCATCCCCTATCAGCTCCTGTCTCTGCTGCCCCAGGTCCCGGGTGAGCTCTTCCAGTCTCTTGTCATCTGGGGGCACAGGGACCCCAGGGGTGGTACCCTGGCACTGTGGGGGCTTGGCAGGATGCCCCCTCTCGGTCTGAGTGCTCGGGCAGGGATGAGCAGCACTGCAGCCCCACTACCACCAGGCTGGACCTGGGAGCCTGGGGACATGTCCTGGGGGACCCAGGGAGCCTCACCTGCCAGCACCTCCTCCTGCTCCTCTGTGAAGTGGATCTGGAATCCCTCCTGGGGCACGAAGGGCGGCAGGACCACACTGCGGAGGACAGTCTGGGCGGATGCACGGTCGCTGCATGGTGGTATCTTGTGTGACTGGGCAAAGAGGTGGGCAGCACACATGATGTACTCCAGGTGGGTGTCCTGTGGGGCAGAGTGGGGGCCACGGAGTGCCTTGTTGGGGTGGTTCATAAGCCCACACGGCCAAAGACTGCCTGCACTGCCACTGTTGCGCAGAGCAGCCTGGCTTTGCCCTGAGGTAGACATGGAGGTGCCTCTCCTCCTCCAGACACAGAGCACACATGGGCTGTTCCCAGAAATGCCTCCACTGACCAGGAGACAAGGACAGACCCAGCCCAGGGCCTGGCAGCCCCAGGTGGGCTGTGGCAGGGGGAGCACAGCCACAGTCAGGCATGCACTGTACCCCCTGCACAGGTTCAACTGTGCCCCTGCCCGCGCTGTCCCCAGCAGGGACCCCACAGCTCCTCCTTGCACTCACATTGTCGGGGTTGAATATCAGTGGATGGGGACAGGTCCTGTCCCATGCCCAGAAGGGGACACCCGGCCTGACTTCCTGGCACAGAGAGGGCAAAGTCAGGCCCTGGGATGCTGCAGCAGGGTGGGCAGCGCAGGGCAGGTGATGCTGGGGGTGCCAGCCCCATGGGCACTGTGCTCACATGCTCCGGGGGGAAGGTGTGCAGCAGCTGGGCAACGGCATCATGGGAGCAGCTCTGCCAGTGCCGGCGAGCCCAGCGAACGCAGTCCTGCCAGTCCCGTGGCCACTCCTGAAGGCTCCTCCGCACTTGTTCCAGGACCTCCACGGCCTTCCCTGTTGGCAGCTGCTCTGGGAAAGCCGGATCTCTGCAAAACCAGGCACCACTGCCGCTGGCCTCGGAGCAATCCCACAGGGCACCCAGGTGGGACATGGTGGTCAGTCCCCTTCTCCCCATCCTCTGGCAGCCCCTCCCCTGGCACCACACCCCCAGGCCCACTCACTCCATGAAGCGGTTGACATGCTCCGCAGGCAGCTGGAAAAGCCCCTCAAACTCATCACAGGCCCACTGTGGAGGGGGAGCAGGTGTTGAGTACTGGGACCCCACAATCACATCACCCCCAGCCCAAGCCCAGGGGGAGGGAGAGGCCATGCTGGGGCTGGGGCCAGCGGTAAAGCTTGTGCTGCCAGCAGGAAGCAGCTGGGGCCATATCCTGTGCGTGGCCCACTGCCGGGAAATGGGAAAGGAAGACAAAGGTCCCGGTGCTTCTTACTGGGTGCTGGTGCCGGTGTGGCACAGCCTACCTGCAGTGTGTGCTGGATGGTGTGAGGGAAGTACCGGAGGGTGCAGACAGGGAAGGTGTCATCCTCAGGGGCAGCAGCCAGCCCCAGCAGCTTGGTCAGGTGGGGCACCATGGCCAGTACGTTCCCCCGTGGTCCCTCCGTACCCGAGTCCAGCAGTGGCGTGAGGTAGCGGAAGCGGCAGCTCTCCAAGTAGGCACCTGCAGGGAGCCGGGGGTGCCGGGGAGCTGGAGGGCATGTCCAGGGGCTTGGCCCCTTTACCCCTCTCAGCACTCACGTGCCTCCAGCGTGTCCAGGGCACTAGCAACACCATCCAGGTGCCGGAAGAAATCATCCCCGTAGAGCATCTCGGTGGCAGGTCCCACCTGATTCTGATGAGCTGTCACTCTGATATCGGGGTTCATGCGCCACACAGCCGCTGCAGCCACCACTGACTTTGGCTTCTGCCCAGGCAGAGAGAGAGAGGGTGGGCAGCTCTCCCCACCCCACAGCCCAGTGGGGCCAGCAGGACAGGCAGGGTGCCCTCTGGGGGGAGCTCGGCCACCGCGTCGAGGTGCCTCACCGATACATCTGCTGAACGGTAGAGGAGCTGCCGATGGAGGTTGGAGAGGGCGACGGTGTCCATGTCAATGACAGTGATGTGCCCCTCTGGCCCGGCCGCCAGCCCCATCATGGCAAAGTTTTTGAGCAGCTCACAGCCGATAGCACCAGCTCCCACCTGCCAGGGCAGAGCCACTGCAGCTCCCCAGGTGCTGCTGCCTGCTCTGCAGCCTCTCCTGGTGCCCACCCCAGCTCACCACCAAGTACTTCTGGCGGCCCAGCAGCTCTTGGAATGCGGCCCCGAAGACGGCAATCTGCCCATCATAGCGACAGCCCCTCTATTGGGACGGAGGAGCTGCGTGAGCACAGGAGGCCACAACACCCTGGTACCCAAGTCACCCTCTGTGTGTGCTCTCACCGGGACACAGTCCTCCTCTGTCAGCTGTGTGACCCCCTCCAGCGCCAGGCACTCAAGGGCATCGAAGTACAACCACTGGTCTAGGGGCAGGAACTTCCCAGTGATGGCCTGGGGCAAACGGGGCCCTATTGGTCCAGCTCCATGGCCAACAGGGTCCCCGGTCCCCATAAACCAGCCCAGCCTTGCCGCTCAGCCCAGTGTCCCCAGACAGGAGCAAGTGCCCTCTCGTGGTCACCAAACACTGTAGACACTGTAGGTCACCAAACACGACCAGTGGGACCGCAGGGCCCGGAAAACCCCATCCCGCTCACCTTCAGGGCCTCCTGGGCTGCCACGGCCCCGACAACAGCAGCCACAGGGCACAGATCCCCTGCACTGACGCTGGCAAAGGCTCGCACGACGTCCTCGTCCAGGGGACCAGGCTGCACCGCCAGGCTCCACGCCAGCTCCAGCACCCGCTTGGCATCCGCCTGCGGGCAGAGGGGTGACGGCAGTCCCAGGCAGGGTGGTGGGAGTCGGCAGGGTGGGCAGGGGCAGGACAGGGACTCACTGGTGCCCTGGGCCGGGGCAGGCGACCCTGCTCCTTACAGAAAGCGTGCAGGGCCTGGAAGGCAGCATGGAGGCTGCAGCTGCGCGGCAGCTCCGAAGGATTTGCCACTTGGATCTTGGGCTCTGCCAGTGCCTGGGACAGGGGCTTCTGCCGACACAGCACCAGGGCTGAGGTGAGCACGTCAGCCAGGCTGGGGCATGGCAGGATGTGGCAGCACCATGGGACCAAGGGGGCACTTACATAGGAGCGCACCTGGGGCAGCCGCACCTGCGAAACCAGGCCCCTGCAGCGGTAGTGCGAGAAGGACCTGGTGTCACCAATCTTCAGCCTGAAGGCATCTGGGGACGAGAAGGGCATGAATGTCACGGCCACCACCAAAAACCCAGCAAGTTTACCAAACCTGGGCCAGAGCAGCCAGGATTCCCTGGTGGCTCACCCATCACTTGCACGGGGACAGGCTCCAGGCCATTCAGCTCCGTCATCCCCTCCACACCAGAAAATGTCACCAGGTCACCATCACTGAAGAGGTGGCCACGGCTGCCCTCCATCCCCGTGCATGTCACTATGCCTGGGTTGCCCTGAGGAGGGGAAGGGATGTGAGATTGGGGTCCTGGAGGAAGCAGCAGTGTTCTGGGGGAGCCTGCAACAGCTGTTCTCCTACCTTGGAGATGTGCTTCACGGCAGCACATACCGGCTCCCCTTCTGCTGGGTCATTAACGATGAAGTGCTCCCCAAAGTCGCAGAACAGCTGCCTGGACAGGACAGATGGGGTTTTGCCAGAGGAGCCACCTCACCAAGCTGCCTGAGCACTGCCAGGTCCTGCCTGGACAGAGCAGTCATGCCAGTGGGATGGGGAGATGGGCTGCAGAGCAGGGCTGGGGACTCTGGGGACAAGTTGACCCAGAGCCAGTGGCAGGACCCTGTATAGAGACCTCTTACCCCGCCAGCCCCTTAGCGTCAGCCACGATAAAGCAGATGCCTTGGGCATGGCAGAAGTTCCCAATGCGGATCTGCTCTTCCAGCGGGGACCCGGTCAGCACCACCACGTGTGCCTGTGCTGTGAATGGGCTCTGCTGGAAGGAGGTGAGGAAGGCCTCTGACAGCTCCCCGGTGTAAGCCACCACTGCCACGCGGGGGTTCAGCTCGGCCAGGGCCTGCCGGGATGCCTCGGCTCGGTTCTGCCCTATGTCGCTCTCCCGCAGGAGGAACTGTGGGGTGGGCATATGGCGGGTTCGGGGTGCTGCTCACCACAGCAGAATGCCCCACAGGACCTTGCCAACGCTGGTGGAGGCCCTGTGATGAGGACCACACCTGTGATACGGGACACCTCATGGGCCCTACCCATGACAATGAGGGGGCTCCATAGGCCATAGCCATGACAATGAGGGGGCTCCATGGGCCATAGCCATGACAGGGACCTCCCATCCCACATTCCTTACCAGGACCCCGTGTATCTGGTACTGGAAGCCCCCTCACACCACACCCATGCAACAGGGATCTCCCAGCTGCACCTACATTCATTACTGTGAAATCCCCCCACACCAGTACCTAGTACTGGGACCCTCACTGGTACCTGTACCCATCACCAGGACCCCTGTCTGTACCCAGACCCATTATGGGGACCCCCATCCACACCTGTACCCATTACTGGGACCCTCGTCTGTAACCTACCCATTACAAGGACCCCTGCCCATGCCTATTACGAGGATCCCCACCCACACCTGCTCCCGATACCGGCACCCCCGTCCTCCCGCCACCGAGACCCTCACCTGTACCAGTCCCTGTTACCGGCCCCCCCCACCCGGCCCCGCCGTACCTGCTGGCCTCGGTCGGCTAGGGAAGCCTCTCCGCGGTCGTGCAGCACGACGCGCCCGGTCCCTGCCAGCACCAGCGCCGCTGCCACCTGCGCTCCTGTCCCGCGGAGCCCCGACACCAGCACCGCTGCCCCGGACAGCCGGCGTGCGCCGCCGCCCAGCACGTACCTGTGGGGCACGGGCCGTCAGCGGGACACGAGGCGCGGGGACCCGCAGCCCCAGCCCCGAATCCGCTGCTCACAGCTGCCGCGAGTACAACCCCTCCTCGGCGCTGCCGCCATAACGGCCCCGCCCGCCATAACGGCCCCGCCCGCGGTGCTTCCCGGCAGCCATGTCGGCGGGCTGGCAGGCGCCGTGGAGGGCGCTGGGTGCGCTGGGCCGGCAGCTGGCGGACGAGTGGGCAGAGCAGGACGTGCGGTCCGCGCTGTGCCAGTTGCTGCTGCTCTGGCTGGGGCTCAGCCTGCTGGGCGTGCTGCTGGCCTGGCGTGTCTACGGCGAGGCGGTGGCCGAGCTCTGCTACCGGACGGACCCCGCCGCCCGCCGCCCCCGCGGAACTGCCTCCAGCCCCGGGCCCGCGCGGCCCCACGCTCACTCCTTCTCCCCCGCAGGCCGGGCCGGACGCAACGGCGCTGCCGAGCGGCACTGCCTGCCCCGGTGAGTCCCGACCGACACCGGGCCCCGACCGCTTTCACCCCCGCGTCGCGGCCTCCCCGCCCGGCACCGGCACCTCCGTGAGCCGCCCCCCCCCAGCCCTGCATGCCCCCGAGTGTCCTCCGGGTAGTGCCACCGTACCCAGCGAACGGCCCCCCCCGCGTCTGCATCCGCACACCAGTGCTCCCAGTAAATGCGGCCCCAGCCAGCCCTGCCCGCTGCCGGGGTGCTGCCCAGCCCAGCTCATGCTGCCCCTCTCTTGCAGGGACGGCCTGGCAACGGAGCCAGGGAAGACGCACCGGGAATGAGGACTGCCAAGACGGCTGGGCGCTGCCTGCACCATTAAAGCGCTGTGCTTCCCCTGCCACCCCTTGCTTTGGCACCTGCTGCCATCACCACAGAGGAGACAGGAGACTGGGGCAGGGACATTTATTGGGGCTGGGGCACTGTGCCCGCAGCAGGCGATGGCCTCACTTGGCCGTGTAGTACTGGGTGGGCACGAAGGGCATCTTGGTGACAAGAGCTGGGTGCTGCTTCTTCCGCACCTCGACGGTGAGTGTAGTGCCAGCCCGGCTGTGCACTGCCTCCACGTAGCCCATGGCGATGTTCTTGCCCAGGGAGGGCGAGGGGCAGCCGCTGGTCACAGTGCCTGCGGACATGAGGACAGGGGAGGTGAGCAGGGGCTGGCAGTCCCAGCACCCTCCCTTGCCACAGGCGCAGTTTGGGGTTATACCCACACAAGCCCCGCTGCCCCACCCACCCACAGGAGTGCCCTCAGGGTCCAGGATGGCCATGTGGGGCCGTATGGGGGGTCCCACTGACGTCAGCCCCACACGCCTGCGTCTTGGCTTCTCTTTCACTTGTGCCATGATGATCTGTGCGCCAGGGAAGTCCATGGCTTTGCGCCGGCGCTTCCCTGTGGGGCAGAGACGGGGGAGGGTCTTTGATGTCTCCTGGTCCCCTTCTGCCCTGTTGGGGACCTGGGGACACCTCACCCCTCTGCTTGCCCCAAGGAGGAAATGGCCATGGCCACAGCCTACCCAAGGTCCACATCAGCCCAGCCTCAGCAGGTGTGGTGGTCTCATCGATGTCGTTTCCATAGAGGCAGAGCCCGGCCTCCAGGCGCAGGCTGTCCCTGGCTGCCAGCCCTGCCGGCCACACGTCCGGGACACCCAGCAGCTGCTCAGCCAGTTCCACTGCCCGCCCTGCGGGCACTGAGATCTGCAGGGGACATGGCAGGGTCAGTGGGACATGGCTTTCCCCTCCCTTGGTGCCTCGGTACAGGTGCAGCTCCCAAAGTACCTCCACGCCATCCTCGCCAGTGTAGCCGCAGCGCGTGACCCGGCAGCCTGGCACGCCAAAGACCGTTGTGGTGATGCTATTCATGAAGGAGAGCTTGGCTAGGTCATCTGACAGCCCCGCCTGCAGCACCCGTGCCATGGAGGGACCTGGGGAGGCAGGTGTCTAGGAGATGGCAGTGTCCAGGGAAGGGTGGGATGGGAAAAGGGCACTGACATCTACTGGGCAAGGGCCCAGAGGAGGGCAGGCCCTTGTGGGCCCTGCTACCTTGCAGAGCCAGCAGAGCGTTGTCCAACACCTCCACATGGATGTCACCACCGGTGGCCTGCAACTCTGCTGCTCTGCCCTGCCAGGGTGACAGTGCACTGCTGCCCTGGGGGCCAACCCCATGTGTGGCCATAGCCACCTCTGTGCATGCAGCCACAGATCTCCCCAGGAGGTGGGAAGACTCATTCCCACAGCGCTTCCCCCCTCCCATGGGGTTCAGGCAGCCATGTACCCTCATGATGGCCAAGTCCTTGTCAGCGCAGCCGGCGTTGGACACAACATAGAGGTGATCTTCCAGTGTGTTGGTGACAATGAGGTCATCCATGATGCCGCCTCTCTCGTTGGTGAGCAGCGTTAGGGTGCCCTGTGGGACATGGCCCTCAGGAGCGCGGGCAGGCTGCTCATGTCCTCCTGTGTCCCTCTTGGACATGCCCAGGGCCCTCTGGCCCTGCCAGACACCTTGTACCCCCATACCTGTCCTGGCTTCAGCTCAGCGATGTCCCCCACCACCAGGCTCTCCATGAACCTGATGCGGTCCTGGCCGTACACACGAGTCTGGAATAGGCCGGGAGGGGCGTGAGGCCGTGTGGGTGACCCCCGTAGTACACACACACACACACACACACACCCCCCCCGGGTACCTGCAGCATGTGGGAGACATCGAAGAGGGAGCAGCGGCGGCGGGTGTGCAGGTGGGACTGGAGATGGCCTTGTTCGTAGTGCAGCGGCAGGCTCCAGCCCGCGAACGGCACCATCCGCCCGCCGCGGGACCGGTGCAGCGCGTCCAGCGGCGTCCGCTTAAGACTCTGCCCCGCCGCCGCCGCCTCTGCCCCCCCGGGGCGCTGCTCCCCGGCCCCGCGGCGAGGCGCGGAGCCCTGCGGGGGGCGGCGGGACAGCGCGGCGCGGCAGCCCGCCCGCAGCATCCTCCCTCCTTCCCTCCCCGGCACAGCCCGGTACGGACCCGGGGCGCCTGGGACATGGAGTCCGGCCGGCCCCCGACCCGCCCCCGACCCGCCCCCCGGCGCCGGCCTGGGGGTATGCTGGGGCACGGCCACCCGCCTTACAGACAGGCACGCACAGGCAGGGCCAACGTAGCAGCTTTTAGTGGTGGTGGAAGCACCCCCGCCCGCATCTCCTCGGTCCCCCTTGTCCGCGGGAGCCTTTTGTCGCGCAGGCAGGGCCAGGGGCTGCTGCCTGGGGCAGACGCAGGGTGCGGGGACCGGCAGAGCGACGGGAGCTGGAGGGCACCGGCCTGGGAGAGGCTCTCAGGGGCCTCTGGGGCGGCAGCGCTGCTCACCGCGGGCAGACAGCACAGGAGGAGCTGGGGAAGGGCACGGGGAGGGCCCAGAACACACGCACACACCCCCCCCCCCCCAGCGCCACAGGGACAAAGGCCGATGTGGGAGCACTGGAGTCCGCTTGGGCACGGGGCAGGCAGCTCCCTCCGGCCAGCACCGCCAGGGCTCACGTGTAGGAAAGCAGGTTGACATCGTAGCAGCCATCCACCTGGGAAAGAGAACAACTGTCAGCCCTGCACTGCACCATCCCTCTACCGGGACACCCCAAACCCCCATCCTGCCAGGAGCAGCCCCTCCAGCAGGCTCCCCCAGCAATGTGGCCAGGCTGAAGATCTGTGAGCAGGGTGGTGGAACTCACGTCGAAGCGCCCGATGCGGGCAGCTGCCTGGCGAGTGCGGATCACCTCTGTCAGCACCCACATTTGCTGGACCTCTGTTGACACCTTCTCCGGGTCAGGTAGCTCCTGGAAAGAAACAGGCACAGTGCTGCAGAGTGGGAATGGGCCAGGTGGGCTTAGTCACTGCAAGCTTGAGCAGTGGTGTGGCCGGATGGCTGTGCTCCCTGGGAACCAGGCACTATCCAATAGTGCCCATGCTCCCAACCTGCTGGTGGTTTCTCAATGCAGGGTAAGCAGGGCCCCACTCTAGGAAAATGGGTGGCTGAGGACATGGGTGACCCTGATCCCTGGGTGCCATGGTGCCGACACAGCCCACCTCTGCTGGCAGGCACCCAGGATGACAGAAAGCATAGCGCTGGCTTATGATTAAACACCTAATTGCACAGTCTGGAGTTTCCCAACTGCTTCCCTCTGCAGTGCTCTCTGGGTTTGGTGACAGAAAGCCTGCTGCAGGTTCTGGTTCACCATGGGGGCCAAGTGGGACCCATGGGCTCAGCAGCAGCTCCCCAGGCTGGGGTGAAGCTCTGCACTGCTTCTGCCCTGGCCAGCCCTGCCCACAGTGCCAAGGTGCTGGTGGGTGCTTCGTGCCAATGCCCGTGGCATCTCCCTGGACCATCCCTTGAGAAGGCGGATGTGATCCAAGCAAGAGACTGGGGTGTCCTCCCCAGCAGACAGTGGGCAGGGGCCTATGCTCCCAAGTCCTGCCAGGCCTGGCAGAACCCTTGCCACCGATGCAATGTGAACTCCACAGCACCCAAGTTCAGCAGCAGAACTGCTGTGCTGCTGCTGGGCAGTGTGGCACGGCTCCTGGCCCAGCCTGCTCTTGGCTGATTCTGCAGGTTCTCACAGACCAGCTGCCCCCTGTGCCTTGCTCTGCCCAGATTTTGCTCACTGGAAGCCGCTGCCAGGCAGATGTGCCTCACAAGCTGTAAATGCACCATAGCTGTGAGCTCCCTCTGCCCATGGGCTGCCTTGGCTGGGCAATGTATTCTGCAGCATGCACCTTCCTGGTGGGGTCTGGAGCCAGTGGGGCAGGGTTGGGGCTAGCAGCCCCACCAGGGATGCTAAGGTCCATGGCCAGCACCCCACACAGGTCTCTCTTCCCCCCAGTACCTCAGCAAGGTCACTCACCCCAGGCAGGCTGGCTGGCTGCTCCGGAGGGGTCAGCTGGGAGAGCCAGGAGGGAAAATCCGTCTGGGGGCTCTGAAACACATCCAGAGGGTCACATAAGGGTGTCCCCAATACCACCTCCATCTCTCACACCATGCAGCACGCTACGTGGTTCAAAGCCCCGGCATATTTATATTGCTAGGGATGTAAGTGACACTTTACCATCATTAAAGGAAATTTTGTGTTTTGAGTTGTTGTTTGCCACCCTTGAGTTGTTGCAGTAACCTCCAGCTCTAGCCCTGCTTGTCAAACATCTACCTCAGGAATAGGCAGGGCTGGGGCTGGCTGGAGCCATTCCTCCCTTTGGCCCCCAAGAGCTCCAGCAAAGGATAAGGACTTGGACCCACATCCTTGTGTCCACACGAGGGAGCCTGAAGCCCCCATAGCTGCAGGGAGCAACACTTGAGAAGTGGCCTTGCATGGACTTGGGGAGGGCAGCTCCCACCCGCTCACCTTCTGTCCAGGGGGGAAAATCTGCAGCTCCTCGATGGTGAACTGGAGCCAGACTGGGGAGGGCTGCCGCAGAATGAACCGTACTGCTGTCACCTGGTCCATGTCACACAGCATCTACTGGGGCAAGGATGGGGACAGCAGTCACCAACAGGGGCTGGCCAGGCCATGCTGCGCAGGGACAGCTTTTGGGATTGTAAGGGACCTTAAAGCTCATTCAGTTCCAACCCCCTGCCATGGGCAGGGACACCTCCCACTAGACCAGGTTGCTCCAAGCCCTGGCCAACCTGACCTTCACGGACACTTCACTCTAGACTTCCTCCAAAAAAACCCAACCCACCCTGAACGGAAGGAGCCCGAGGGAAGTGTCACCTCGTGGTGGCTGTCTGGGCTGAGCGCGGCAGGGGCACGACCAGCACCAGGACCCTCGCTGCTGGGGGTGTACACGGTGGGACATCAGCACAGGGCCTTAGGGACTGGGAGCTGTCCTTGGGGGGTGGGCAAAGAGGGGTGAGCCCCAGAGCACGGGTGATGCCACGGCCACCGTGCAGCCGTGCCGACCTGGTTGCGGTGGAGGGAGAAGTAGTCCTGCGCGCCCTGCTCGGTGTGCGGGCAGGGCATGAGGCACATGTCCCGCAGGCAGGTCACCCAGCGCCGGGAGCCGCCGGGGCCGGGCCGCTGCACCCGCACGCTCAGGAACGCCGTGTAGAAGTTCTTGAAGACGATCTCCTGTACCTGCGGTGGAACCGGCGGCTCAGATCCCGCCCCGGCGCCTCCAAAACCGGCAGCGGCATCCCCCACACCAGCACCCCTCTTAGCAGAGCCGGTATCCCCCACACCAGCAACCCCCTTACCGACCCCAGCGCCTCCTCCCCATATCGGCACTGGCAACTCCACCCCACACCAGCACAACGCCCCCCAAACACCAGCACAAACGCCCCCCCTCAGTACTGGAGCCTTCACTCCCCATACCGGAACCGGTAACACACACCCCCCAAAAAGGCACCGCCCGTGCCCTCCCATACCGGCACCAGCATCCCCCTCCTCCGCTACTGGGACGGGCACCGGCACCTGGCCACCCACCCCTAGCATCCCGCCCAACACCGGTACGAGTGTTGTCCCTGGCAATACCGGGCACCGCCACCGGCATCCCCTCCCCGCACCGGGACCACTCCCCCCAGCACCCCTCTGTCCCCTCCACAGCGGTACCGTCCCGCCCCAGGCCGCACTCACATCGGCGGCGGCGCCGCGGGGGAAGCGCAGGTCGATGACAGCGACCCCGGGCCGGGCGGGCTCGGTGCCCCCGCTCAGCTGTAGCGCGGCGGCGGGGCGGGGTGCGCAGGGAAGCGGGGAGCGGCCCGGCCCCACCGGCGGCCCCGGCCCCGCCGCTCCCGACATGGCGGCGCCGCGCGGCCGCCCTTCCTGGGCGGGACCGGCACCGGGGCGATGCCGACCGGAAGCGGGGACCCCACTCCCGCCAGCAGGGGGCGCCGCTCGCCCGGTGTTGGTGCGGGGGGCGCGCGCACGCGTTACCGGCGGGCCGGGCCCGTTCACCGCGGGCAGACCCCCCCCCCGCCCCCGGCAAGGGCGGCAGCAGCGGGCGCGGCCCCGGTGCGTGCCGCCGAGGTGACCTGTCCTCCCGGCAAAACCGACCCGAAAGGGCGCCCCGGGAAAGCGCGGATCCGAGCGTAGTCGGCGTCAAGGAGAAAGAGGGGGAAGGGAGGGAGGCGGCGGCCGCGGGGGGCCGAGCTCGTACAAACGGCGGGCAGCGCTACACCGGGTTTAACTCTTTTAATAAACTTCTGGAGGCTGTATCAAAACTCTTGTAAAAAATCAGGTTTGAGACTTCACTGATGGTTTTACTGTGAACTGACCCTGTCCTGCTTTTTTTTCTTCCCCCCTTTTTTTCCCTTCTCTTCCCCCCCTGCCCCTTTAACCTTTTATCTTTTCCAACAGCATCCCGGCACTGAGCAGCCGGGAGGAAGTGCACAACCCGCAGCCAGGGGCTGGGGAGGCTGATCCAGCACCGCTCCCAAAAGCGGAGGCAAAGAGACAGCACCAGCCTCAGAGAACGCCCCCCCCCCCCCCCCCATCATCACTCAAACCCCTCTCGGGGTGTGCGGTTTGCTCAATAAAAGGCCACCCCAACCCCAGTACTCGAGGGGAAGAGGAGACGCTGTTGCATCATGGGGGTCCCACTCACCCTCTGGGCACAGTGCTGAACCCAGAGGTACCCGCAGCCAGTCTGACTCAAGTGATGACTACTGCATGATGTGAGAGAAAATAGCATTTCTTTCATTAAAAAACAAAATTAAAAGAATCGACCCCCAAATCTAGAAGCTGATCCCCACCTCTGAGGAGGAGGAGGTTGGCTGCCCTCCAGGGTCTCTCCTTAACCAGCCCCCTATCACCCTGGAGCTCAGCTGCAGCACAGCACTGCCCTCCCCTTTCCCAAACCTACACATCCCGGTTTAGGGGAACAGCAGATTAAATGTAAAAACTTAAAACCATCGGCTTCAGAAAGTCCCTTGAATTTAATTATTTTGTTTTAGGCTACCTTTCATGTTACGTCCTGTAGCTAGACACACGTGAATAGAAAAAACAGTACAGTTAGTGTTAAAGGCAAACAGCGGAGACCCAGAGTGCTACCCCAGTGCTGCCTGCTCTTCCCGTCCCGACCCATCCCATCCCCTCCCTGCCCGCCGCCCGGCCCTGGCCCGAAGCCCAGCCGCCAGGAAGGCGTGTTTGAGCCGAGATTTTTTTGTTTCTCTATGAATAAAATAAAACCAAAGCTTGTTAGGCAAAAATAAAACAAGTGTCCCCCCGAGTCCCACGAGTGCAGCGGGCACAGCCAGGGAGCGTCTGCTGGGGTTCTGTGTTCCCGGCTGGCGAGGGGGCTGACGGCCCACAGACAGCACTGGTGTGGAGCTGGAGTGGAGGCCCCTTCTCCCCCCCCCAAGATCCTCCTGTTCGTTAAGGGGGCACGTAGGGTGGCGGGGACCTGTATGGGGTCATGTTCTTCGGACGGGAGCCTTTGCCTTCCATGGGTGCGGTGAAGGGTGGGGGGGGCTGGTAGGGCGGTGCATTGGGGTCCTCATCCCGCAGCGGTGTGTACTCCCCGATGGTGTCCTGGTTAAGCGGCGTGGTCTCTGGCATGCTCTGGTTGGGGTACTCTGGGGGGGGCAGTGGGGCTTTCTCCTCCTGGAGGATGAGGGGCATGCTGGAGGATGGCGGGGGCTTTGAGTCATCCAGCTCATCAGCAAAGATGATGGGCACGCCTTTCTTTATGAAGGTGGCCTGGTCTTCGATGGTCAGCTTTCCTTTTCTCTTCTTGCGGTAGCAGATCATAGCAATGATACCGGCCACGAGGAGGATGGCGGCCACCACCACGGCAGGGATGACGGTGTGCAGGTACACATCGTCCTCGCTGCTCTTCTCGGGGTCTTTGCCTGCTGCCACCGTTGGCGTCGCCTCCGAGATCACCCTTCCATCCTTTGTCACGGGGATGAACTGGATGTGCCTGCAGCTGCCAGAGCCCACCACCGACACATTCAGAGGCTTGAACTCAGGCTGCAGGACGTTGGAGAACCCCGGGCTCGGCCTGCCAGAGTCATCCGCAATTTTTTTGCTCAAAGTCCGGATCTGCTCTCGGGGGCAGGGCTCTAGGGGCAGTGTGTTGTTCGTCCACTCCACTACGATGGAGCCTTTGGCAATATCCTGCACTGTGATGGTGCTGCTGTTCCTGTCACCGAATGCCAGAGCCAGCTTCTTTACCAGCATGATCTTCTTATTGATGTCATTTACCACAGCATTGTGGTCCCCTTCCAGCCTGGCCTTGAACTTCACCGGTGACTTGTCCCCATGCGGGCGTTTGTGGACATGGATTTCAAAAGCATCCACCGCAAAAAGCCCACCTTTGTCAGTTGCATACATGAAGTACTCGTGCTTCCCTATGTGGCTGTGGTCGGGCATGCCGTACATGAGCTGGCTGGTGCTGTTGAACTGCACCCACGAGTTCTCCTCTATCATCTGCTGCTCCTTCAGCTTCAAGGTCAGCTGCAGTTTATCAGTGGTGGTATCCTCCTTGTCATAGAAGGTATCCGATGGTATTTTAACCTCAAAGTAAGTACCTTCCCAAGCATCGACCCTGTCAATGTGGTTTGTCAGCTTGGGTGGCTCATTTGGCTCCCAGGGCCGGGGGATCCCGCTAGCTGTGGTGCGTACGCGGGTTGGTGGTGAGGCTGTTGTCAGCTTGGAGATGGGGGATCTGGTGGTGCTGGGGGGCTTTGTTGGACGGGGTGTTTTGGGTCTCCGAGTAGGCCTTCGTGTCATCGTTGTGGAGGAATCTGTGGTGGATGGCGTGGCTGGCTTCAGAGTGGAGACTCTTGGTTTCTTGGTGGTGGTTGTGGGTGGTGTGATCACTGCCGTGGGCTCTACGTACCCTGGCATCGTGGGGCGAATTGGCACAGTGGCCGTGCCAGTGCCTTCTGCTACCCTGGTTGGCTGGATGGGTCCCAGAGTGGGTGTCTGGACGATGGGGCCTCTCGTTCTGATGGTGACTGTAGGCTTCCTCGGCAGCGGTATGGGCTCCCGGACCGGGGGTGCCGTTGTCTCTGTTGGAGGTGCAATGGCAGGTGACGTTGGGGTGGGGACAATCCTGGTCGGTGGCTCTTGTGCGGCAGTAGTGGGTGGCCCGATGGCAGTCAGAGGCGTAGGGGTGGCATTGATCTGCCGCCGCATCCTCTTTGGGAGGTGAGGCTTCTTGTTAGCAATGTGCCAGCCAACAACAGGGTAGCCCAGGCGGGCAGACATGGTTCCTTCCTTAGCTGGAGCCTCCACCTTGCTGATGTTGGGGACACTGTTTTGGCTCAGAGAACATCCCAGTTTCCATGAAAGTAAGGCCCCGTTTTCCACCACCTTCTTTGCATTTCCTGGTCCAGCCATGAAAGCCGACATGTCAAAAAGTCTGTTATTTACAACAGGAACCAACTTCATGTTGTGAAGTTCTACCTCTGAGAAGCTTCTCATTCTGCTTAAGAGTTCAATCCTCTGCTTTGGTGTCATTTTTGTTAGGTCGGCATCCAAAATGACAGTTAGGATGGTGACTGGCTCTTCCGAGCCACACACAAATGGTGCCGCATCACTCGTGTCTTGGATGGCTGCTCGCACTGACTGAGGCTCGTTGTGGTCTTCTTGGTGGACCTCAACAGAGAAGACGTTTGCAGTCTGTGGCACATAGCTCCCATTGGGGAAGGGCTGCAGCGTGGTCACCGAGATGTAATGGACGCCCTTATCTGTGTCAAGGGGCAGCCCTTCCAGGGAGCTGCTCTCCGCGTTCCAGTGTAACCAGGAAGGCAAGGAGTCCTTCCCAGCTTCGGAGATCTACCAAAGGAAGAAAAGAAGAAGGTGCTCTTAGAAGTACATCATTAGCACAGGTTTTAGCAGTAATGACACTTAATTTGAAGGATTAAAGAAAAAAACCTGAAGCATAAGGAGGGAAGAACATCCTGGCTACAGAGAAACAGCCTGTGTCTTCTCCTCTCTATGGTGGCAAGGACGAGCTCTGTAGGGCACTGGTCCCAAAGGGTTTCAGGAGCCACAGGAGGTCATGAAGCCCTGTAAAGGTCCCTCACCTGCAGGCACCAGCTCTCTAGCACTTGCTGTGCAACTACGAAGCACAAGTGGTTCATTTTCTTTGAGGGCAGAAGGGGAGTTTAAGTCATGGGGACAGCTACAAAGCTGAGGATGAAGTTACACCACGCAACAGAGACGATCCAACAACTGCCCTCTTCCCACCCCCTCCTCTCCCATCCCTGCTTTCTCACTCCTTTCCTCTCCTGATCATGCCCTGCAAGCCCATCGCTCCAGTGGCCTGACATGCGGCCAGCACAGCACTGCCACAGAGTGTGTGCAGCCAGGGTCTCAGCACTGGGGCATTGCTGGACATGGCACACAGCGGCACACCAACCAGGGCTCAGGTTAGCTTAAGACGAGAAAGATTTCACTTTCATACAGTACCTTGCTTCTGCAGACTACAAACAAGTGGCTTTGGCCAGACCACAGGCACCTCAGGACTCCAACACACTATTTAACTACCTCTTTTAGGTCAACAGCAACACCTTTTCTTTTACATGACTTGTGGTGCAGACTGATAAAGCACAGTCCTCCCCTTCAAACTGCCCAGCGCCAAAGCAGGGCCAAAGCATGCAGCGATGGGGTGTCCCTACAGTCTAGAGGAGCAAGCTTGTGGTAACCTCACTGGCTGCCTCCTCTTCCCAGTCCTTCTTCATCCATTTGTACCTTTCTCAGCCCACCCTCCTCTCTCAACTTCAGGTCTCCTTCCCAGCCAGCCCATGCCCAGACCCTGCAGGTCTCCTTTTGCTCATGTGGAAAAGACCCAGATTCTCTCCAAA